TAATTTTAGGAATCAAAGAGGATAAAGTTTTAATAACATTTAACTTTATGAAGTAATGCAGTAAAATTTACTTTTAAGTTTTTCTAATTTAAGAACCCCCATAAAAAACTTTACAATGTTAAATGATCTTAGAAATTCTACTTAAAATAAATTTAGTAGATAAAAGGTATAATAAATAACTCTATTATTCTAAAAATCTGTGAACTTTAGGTCTCTATCCGGCAAAACGGTCCCAGACCTAAATCAATGTGGAACAATAAACAAATGCAAGACTACCTTAGCGGTATCATTAAAATCGTCTCGCGGGTTTTGTAAAATAATCATGAAGACACAAGGATGATGAAAAGTACGCACCACTAGGCCTCTCTCCCATTGAAACATGTTAGAAATCCGATTCAGTTCGCTCTCGTGCTCTTCAGTCCAGACCAGGGATTTTCTTAGCGTCATTATTAGCTACAGAGTTAGGGAACAATATTACAAAATACAAATTTATCCAAAATTCCTCAAAAATGTGGTAAATATTTGAAGTAAATCTGGTTAAACCTACCATTTAGTTGTAAGGCTTTTATTAAAAATCTCAGCAGCAATAACAGCTTGAGTTCTGATTTTTGTTTAATGATTCAACGCTATTTATTAACTAGGCATCAAGACGGAAAACTTCGGACTTGGGGACTAAGGAAATCGGCACTTACTTTACCCTTTTTCGAAATGTTTTCTATGTGGTGCTTGAACGCTGATAGCACAGCAAACGGTACATCCTGAGTACTTTGATGTGCATGAAATCGAAGCACCTTAAAGGAGAAAATCATTTATTGTCGTCTAAAGGACCTTAACCATAAACTAGATATTACATATTGAAATAATATTTACTAAATCTCGTGAAAACCAGAGACTGTTTCGTTTAACCTAAAGTGATTTTACGTCCCGGTGCTTAGTCATCACATGTAAAATTGTTTTGTAAACTTCACAAACTACAAAAACAGTTCACACATTAAAACTCGAGGGGTCATAAAATGTTACGCCTTAGGAGCGCTGGATTAAGTGGCCTTCTATTTCCAGTACGTGAGTTCCCATTTATAAAGATACACCCAAAATAGCAAGAAGATTATGCCTAATTAAGACACAAAGTCACAAGCGTAAGGATTTGACAATTGTGTTTAACTAGGAAAAAAGTAAGTTCTTACGGTCTTCTGCGGGCCTGCGCTGTAGGCGGGAATATTGTGCAACCAAATGCTTGAGCACAAGTCAGTGAGAACTGACTAAAATGCAAAAGATCCCTAAACCACTCTGGAGAGCTACCTATTTGTTTTGCAATATCTCCCACCTCCTTAGTATGGAGGGTGTAATGATCCAAATTCAAATCAAGATTATATTTCCTCTTTCCAATCAAAGAGGAATATAATATTAGAAGTTAAATTAAATTAATTCAACAGCAAATATTCAGTTGAAATACGATCTGTCAATCATCGTCTAGCAAACCACCAGGACTCTTATATTCTCCCCATTGATAAATGATTCATTTTCCATCCCCCTCTAACAATATGCATTTGCAAGAATCCTAGAACGATATCTGAAATGTCTGCTAAAAAATTTCCTGTTATAGATAATATGCAGTGTTTCATGTGAATCAAATTCGACGCACTAAAATGAAGACCATGCGTCCTTTGAAATTTAGATTTACAACAGCATCTTATGAATATTATTCATTATAAAAAATAAACCTATTTCTGAGCGATTTCACCTTGATGTAAATTGGGAGCACAATGAATGATTTTTTCTTTATTAATGCCCGTGAATTTAACTAGACCATAAAAACTAACCAGATAATTAAATATACATAAAACAACTTTACCTTTGCGAGTTAATAAAAAGCGACTTAATAAGATGACACTTACGGTACACTCAAACAGAAGCTGGTCGTAAGGTTTAAACATTTTGAATATGCTTGGATCTCTTCGATCATTCATTTTTGAAGAAATCTATGCATTATATTTACTCCTCAATACTTCGGGTTCTCTCACACGGCTGCATTAAATGAGTAATTGGAATTTGCGCAGTTACCTCCACAACACCTCAATGCCGTATCACGTGCGCGATCGTGTTGGCTGTGTGATTCTGTACCTGTGATTGGTTCCCCACTTGTGCTCGAGGCAAATGTCGTGTGCACAAGTGAGAAAACCGAGGGCGATTGAGTGAATCAGTGACTGGTTCGTTGCATAATGGAAGTTACATTGGGTTGGCGTTGCCATTTTTACCGACCGAGAGCAGTGCATGATATGACTATGCAGAAACCGGTTTATGAGGCCCTTTTCTACACAAAAATATTCAATCTGACAGTACCTCCAAGTATTGATGTAACAGTAGACATTTAAGTTTTTTTTTACTTCAATTTCACCAAGAAGCCAAAAATAACTAATATAAAAGGGAAAATTTTCCTTTATTTCGTGCATAATGCAATCAGATGAGGTGTAAACTATTGTCCGATACCAAAATAAAGGCATTTTGAGGTTGGTTTAGGCAAAGTAACTTAAAAACCATCAGACCCAACACCGCGTACTTTACCAATTTAACTCATAAAGGCCAAGTTCATGTTTTGAAATGTTCTCCAACACCTGTGATTGCTCTAATACACCATTAAAAAACAATTCTGAAAATTAGTGATACTTGGTAATTTCACTATAAAGGGAATCAAGAAGGGGAAAGTAAGTGAAAACCAGGTATTGTTGTGATGCATAAGGTATATCAGGCGGCATAGGTGATTCAATTTTTCATTCGAGGTTGCTCTTTTAGTTGACTTTGAGGTTTTCTCAAGTATATTCTTATATATTTCACAGTTAAAATGAATATCTCACTTGACAGATTGTGCTTGCAAAACTATTCTAATAGATAAATATTCATGTCGTAGCCAATAGAAGCGCAAATTAGTGACAAACGGTAAAGTCGGGATTAGAGCTGCAGTCTCTTGAATTCAAGATGGCGTGAAGCTTACTGAACTATACGAATTCGTGCGTGTGAAAGCCCGGACAGACGATAAAGGTGAATAATGTATTCGGACTGTGAGTTGACACAGTAACGTATATTTGGCGTGCGTCGCTTTCCTCCTTTATCCATTTCTTGCATATGAAATGCGGCTTCTTGTGGCAGTCCAAGAGTGATTGATTCTCCGTTGAATAGCATGCGGCAACTGTAATCAAACCTCATTCGACACAATAGCCATCCTACCTCCGGCTACTACACATCTTACTCATTAATTCCCATCAATATGGTTGTGATAATTTACAGCAATAAACAGCTTTATTTTAGGTGAAGGCTCCTCTGTTTCTAGAATGCTAGTACCACAAAAGTCATAGTAGGAAAGTTACTAGTTGGAAGAGTAATCCACCAATTATGTTCAATCAGGAGACGAGTTTAGGTGGATAACCTTGGTAGGATTCCTGTAGTTCTCCATTGGAATACTTCCTTGATCGTCTTATTATCATGAAAAACCCAAGCAACCAAGTTGACACTAGTTCAAGTGCTATTTGAGAAAGCTCTCAGGTTATTAAAGCAGGAGGCTTAGATGGAATAAAGAGAAGAAATGAAGTGGAATAAGTATGGTTCATATCACTGAGAGTGCCGAATTTCAGAGGCAGGATAGAAATAAATTGGGAAGAAAACAAAACCACTCGTGCTGGTTTAAAATAGGCTAGCCGCATTCAAAATATCTTAAAAGAATGCATTACAAATCAGCTTCAATGAAAATAAGCCATTTTTGTTTTCCATCAAAAAATTTAGGAATCCATCTCCAAGTTCTTAGAAATGTGACGTATAATCACATGATTTTGAAGAAAAAACAGACATTGATAATTGCACATACCTTAGCATGGCTCTCTGCTGAACCATAAGCATTATTTGCACAATATATTGCAAAAGGACTAATTTTATCTGTGGGAAACAGCAGGAAATTTTTAGGTTTAAATGTTTTTAATTACAATATCTATATTGTTCTTCAAAGTCACCCGAAGGTATGGTTTATCACGAACCCGTCAGTTTTGGGGCCTTATGGCAGAACTTTCATAGGACGGGTACTTACTTTCGAGCACAGACTACAATTTTACAAATTTCATAAGTTGAGTAAGCAATATTTACAAATTTGTAATGATATGTAGGAGCGTGGCGTTAATGGTTATTTGAATTAGGGTGTTTGGAGCACTTCTCAAATTCAATGCGGGAGTGTTTTAACATTAACTGAGAGCCCTAAATACTTAAGAATTTGGGATTTTTTGAATAAAATTTGCTATAAAGTGGATGATAGCTTTTAATACGTTGGTTGCTTATCTAACTCTCCGGATTGGGAGAAAGAATCACCTAGTCGCTCCACCATTGTACCTTCACTGGTTGAGCTGGCCTCCAGGCCATGCCAGAGGCCCCGGCCCTACTGATGCCGAATACATATATTCTGCTAGCATATTATATCTACTTCTACCTTCAGGAAAGTCCTGCGGCATTTCATATCCTAACAAAATTTGTACCAATTTGTATTTAATGTCAGGTGGAATCTATCCTGATTCTAAAACCAAATCACGATTTCTGTTCGTGAAATACAACGTAATACGCTTAAGATGTCAAAGATACTATTCTTAGAATTATTTTGAACATTGTTCTTTCACCACTCTTTTTGAAAAATAATGTAGCCGAAAAATTTTTCCTGCTCTTTAGTCGCACTTGTGCGACATTTCGGTTTACTTCTAGTCACATATATCGATAAAAGTGGTACACGTACTTTAAATTCTTGGCCCAAACTTATAAAAAATCTTGTTTATTTTCATTTATGAAGAAGGTTATATCCTGTAAAATTTTATGTATCGTATATCACCTTATTATTCAGTCGTTTCATATCGGTGGAAGGCATGTAGAAGTAGCGGGATGACTGAGACATTTATTATTGGCCCGCAGAAGCAGGAACTGTATTAAGAGCATTTCCAGAGTTTAGAAGACAAAGCTGCATGTCCACAGGCGAATTATGCATTCCCCTCTACAATTGCAACCAGCATACGCTTGTAATCCCCCGAAGTTTCACTCTGAATGGCGTTTGTCAGAAGCTTCTTCGTTTTCCGTTGATAAGCCTCCTTGATATCTTCAAGATTAGTCTGTAAAGCGTAGAAAGAATAGCTGCAAAACAAAACGTTTGAACAGTAAACAAGTCATATCAAATCAGCAGTCTAGCAGAAGGCATATTTCCACACTACAAGACACCCGAAGCACCAAAGTTGCAACCAAGCTTATGCGGCATTAGTGAAGTGAGGAAACCGCGGGATGGTAACTCACAGCTGAAAGGATTCGCACACCTTACAACACCCCTGAGAAATCATGATTTTAAAGGTATATTCGCAAACCAGCATTGAATTTGAGTGAAATCATGATTGCAAAAAAGCCGTTTAGATAGGTGAAACTGTGAAAAATTCCGAAATTGCCATTTTGATGTAAAATAAGTACATTACTCTCAAGTCATGGAGGTCGTAATTTGTGACTTCAAGTCGTGAACATTTTCAATTGATTTTTATAAATTTTTTAGTAGTTTACATATATACCTCCGTTAATCCTACTTCAAATTTTCTGCATAAAGATAATGCGCATCCATCATGTTTAGTCTCATCATTATACATTAATTGACGGGAATAGATAAGTTAAAACCAGGCATTGTAATCACCTCGGCGCAGGACAGAATTAGACGAATAAGATCATCATCACGAGTGCCCATTCCAGCCATTGATTCTTGAAGCCAATTAACAAACAGTGCGATTGGGTCCTCCGCATACGAAGCTATAAATGGGTAAAAAGCATTTAATATTTTATGATTAATATCAGCAATAGTGGATACGCCTATAAGTGTTTGCTTATACAATATACACAAAACGCTGTAAGGGTGAAGTAACAGTTAAGACCCTTGATAATGCATACCAATAGTTATCAGTGTCTCACAATAGTTGCCGGAGGTTTCACTTTTGATGGCTTCAATAAGTGTTTTCTTATACGTCTATGGATGAGATGAATCAAGAGTATTTTGAGAAGCGAGTACGGAAATGCATTAAGTAGCAAAAGTAATAAGTCTGCCCACATTTGTATAAGTTCTTATGATTTCTTTGATATGTGGAAAACTCCTTTGAGCGAAGATTTGAGTGAATCGGGATTCTTCGGTTCCAATCCTCCTTAATGAATAAAACTGGTATCAGATAAACTAGAAGACGATTTAAAGTGTATAATAATCAATAACGAACAGATATGATGACGTTTGACTATGTAGTGGTTGGCAGATAAACTTTGCAGGAATAACGATTCATTAAGTCGTACCCCTCTCCACATTCGTATAACGTATCAACGTCAACTTCGACCTGCGCTTGATTAACGTGAGGATTTTCATCGCGTTGAGCTTGCAGCATCGCCACCAAAATTCGCCGAAAGTCTCCACTAGTCTCACTGACTATATCCTTTTCTAGATCGCGTTCTGTAACTACACCAAAATGCAAATGGATATCGAGTTATTGCAAGGTGTCATGGTTCTTACTTCATCATTTGTAAGGAACTGCCTGTCACGTTAAAGAGTCAGTTAGATAAACCCCTCGAAATATAGACACTTAAATGATATTCAACATCTAATCATGTCTACCATTCTCAACTCATTCAAAGGAAGTTTTGCTTTCATCTTACGCAATATCTTTGGATGATCATGAAATATAAGTTATTTCTTATGAGTACTAGAAAATTGGTATCATAAAAATTTTTCATTTAACAGGAATGTTAGTTTCGCCTTTCACAGATCGAGATGTGGCTTATTCTTTTGATAGTCCGTGTTATGATGCAAATAATGGTGAATTAGTCAAGCGAGTGGTCAGCAATGGAGAGGAAATTACTGGTTTGATAGGCCTGTTTGATATGCTGCACCTCTGCGTTGGAGGCAACGGCGATGACCTGGATGAGCACGCGCTCCGTCGTACCCGCACCTTTCATAGCCTTACGTAGAGCGCATGCCTTCATCTCCGCCACCTCCTGGAGTGATGCGAGCACCACGTCCTCAAAATTGCCCTTCAGCTCGCTTTTGAGATCCTTTTCCAGGTGCTATGGCAATCAGAGGGAAAAATTATGCTTTATAAACATGGTGTAAGACGTTGTTTAAAAGACTTTTATTGCTCATTTATGTTCCAAATATATCACCTGAGGCCCTGTGAAAAATTACCGTCATCCCACACCAAAAAATTATTTTATGCAAAAAATGACGATGTTACTTGGTTAAGTTGTTCAGCTGCTTACTTTTATTAAGTATTTCAATCTTCACAAAGAACCATCATTTATGTAGGCTATTTAATGCAAAAGATGTTTAATTCTGCGAGGCGTAATTAAAGATTTTATGATAACTTTGGAAGCGACTGGCTTTTAAAGACTTTTGCTACTCAACAGATTTCATAGCATTTAAGTTTATCATACTTTCTAATGATTAAACAATGGTATAGCTAATATGTCATTGGCATTGGTGATTAAATCGCACCAATAAAAACCCCAAGTCCTTGCTTAAAAGTTAACTCTTGAAATTATGCAAATCGCAGCTGTAGGTTTAACACACTCGGACACCTCAGTGTGGAAAGTGAAATTTCCGCCTTACCTTTCCATATAGTGCCAAGTAGCGGCTTGCAATGGCCTTACGCTGAGATGCCGATCTGTTTGCGAGAACCTTTATTATTTTTGCCTCATCAGTTCCTGTAAATAATAAAGTGGGGACATTAAATAACCGACAGGTATAAAATATGGCTCCACCAAAAATCTGCTATCATTAATTGCGATTACTTTTAACGAATGAATGAATCGTATGAGACTAGTGAGCAAGTATTCAGTTTAACTGTCGGCTCCGCCCAGAAGCTGACGCAATCGTACCGTGGTCAGTTAACGTTCATATTTTTACGGCAGTTACATACTCTGAAGAAAATTAATGCATTTCCGATAAAATGCTCAGGAAATTGACGAAAGGCTGATGTACAAATAGCAGTAGTTAGCGTATTCGTACCAATTCCTTTCATGGCCTGACGCAACTCTTCCGAGTCCTTGTCAGGATTAAAGGGAGTGAAGGGACGGATAGTTGGACGCCCATTCATTGTTTGGTCTAAAAGCATAATAAAACCCTTAAAAACAATACTTTGACAGGTTGTATAAAATGGTTTTTGCAAATTGGATTAGAATGTAAATTTACTTTAGTGACAGTGATAAAAAACGGGTTGCAATGGTAAAGTCTTAAGCAGTTCATAAGTTATGCGGTTGTTTCTTGAACATTTTCAGCAAAAATGTAAACACCTTTGCGAACGAAATGTTCAATCATTTACATAAGCTTCCCAAATAGTCAATAAAGTTAGCCTTGAAGTTTCAGTAAAGTCAATCAAGCTAGGCGCGAATTCAATGGATGAAATCATGACTATCCGCTCTACATTTTTATGGGTTTCAGAACTAGTTAAAAGTTTACTGCATTCACTGAATTACCACGTGATGCCCAAAAAGTGATTCTAGAGTTCAAAGTCTGGCATAAAATTGAACAAAATCATTTTTCCAAGCATACAAAAGGCACTAACTTCGAAGTTTCTGGTGACAAATTGTTTTACAAGCCTAATTTTAAGGCATACAAACTCGTATTTCAGCATGGTGTTGAACAGAGTATTTGATAATGGTAAGTTATTATGCCAAATTGTAGGTTGTGTGAAGCACTTCGTTTGGAAATTTCAAAAAAAAGCGATGAAACCAGAAACCACCGCAGTTGGCATGCGATTGCTGATCGTAATCGTACCATGCAGGCGACCGCAAGAACCACCTTTGTTGTATGCAATAGCAAAACCAATGGTTTTAGAGATCGTATCCATGATTGGTTTGAAAGAACTAATTGCTAATTAACGCATACTGTGCTGCATTGAACTTTTTTGTTTAGAAATGTCGGCATAAGCACTAAACAAACAAAATGACGCAATCATTGAGTTGGATCACATTTCAGTGCACTTTTCCAGGTTACGTAAAACGGAACTGAAAATGGTGCAGAAAATAAAGTTCAACAAATCTGGTTTGCTTCTGTTTTCCTGAAGCTTAACAGCCTAAATGCTCAGGTGCTTTAGGTACTTAAATAAGTGAGACTTAATGAAACAAATGCACAATGTCAAGGACAGTACCCAAGTACTGATAACATCGCGTCGTAATTACATTTAGCAGGCGCTTACCGACCAGACTCCTAAATGTTAGTGAACCTCAGCGAATATCGCGCTGCTGAATATATGTAAAGCTAGGATTGTTAAAGTCGATTGGTCAATGGATTGGCGAATCAGTGACTGCTGTCTGGTGGAAACGGCCTACGCATGAATGTGGTCCAGTCCAAAGGGTAAAGGTAGTACTTATTCGAGAATGCAAAACAAACTTAAACACCTAAAGGCATCATATTTATGACTTTTGGCGGGAATTATTTAACATGACGATACACCCAAAAATTTTGACAGCATTTTTTTGTTTTGGTGATGGGCTGTGTATAAGAGCGCATTGAAGTCATGTGGTACTATTGATAAACATTTCCTTTAAATTACATGAAGTTAAACAATGGGATGCATAGTTTGACTACTTGCGTCCCTTTAACCGCACAGTTTGCAAACAAACACCCTCATAAAAAGACAATATTTCCACATGCGTGTGCGTGCGTGCATCCCCTTCCGGTCGATGGCACAACCCCGCCTGTAAAAGCGCGGACGCAAGACGGCGCTCTCGACATTGCCCTTCGCTGCAACCTGCCGCAACTTGACGTTATTTTGATCGCTCATTCAGATGACGAACTACAGCCGTACAGGAGACGCAGAATTTGCAAAAGTGGGCAATATACGCATCACCCTAGATGATGACCGCAACTGGTTCTACATCAATCTATTCTATCAATCCTTGCCTTGTTTTAAAATTGAGAAAAGTGACTGTCAAAATATGGCGTAGAGATCAGAGTCAATCAGTCAGAAAAACTGAAGCATAACCATTTAATTATCATTGCTAGTGCCTAAATTTCATTAATGTTCCGAAGGGTCCGTCATAATCCTTAGGCAAGGGAATTTCTAATTCAGAAAAGTAGAAGTGAACTTCTATTTAAAAGACGGGGAAAGCAAAGGTAGAGCATCCGGACTAGGATGTCAAAGGAATGGGAAGTTTAAGTGGTTAAGAATACACTGCGCTACATATGGCACCAAAACTGGTGGGAAATAAAAAACACCGCCATAATAAATGCATCCATAGTGAATTTAATTATTGCCTAGTAAACAAATGCTCTCTTTTACAAAATCAATCCCAAATCCCGTGGATCCCATGAGCGCATATTATAATTTTCGCGTCCATGAGTGATGAAATTATGTCTCATAAACAATCCCCTACATAAGTGGCGTTTGACATCAGACGGCGATGTTCTGCATGATTCTACAAATAATAATCGACCAACGTGAATATTAAAAAAAAAACTTAGGGGCTTTACTTTACTGTACGCGTTAAAAGTGGTAATTTATTGTTGACAGAAAAATGATTGTGCAAAATCTCAAGAAATACCTTGGTGTATGTAAATGGGAACAAAAGACGTATACAAAAAGTGCGTCTTATTTAAAAAAATCGCTTTAATCGGCTAACCAAAACCATTCATTAAAAGCCTTGAAAAATCCGTACACTCTGACCCACTTTGCCCCAATAGCTCATTTTTCACGTGTTTAGAACCATGCTAGTAAATGGCAATACCAACTATCTGTTTGAAAATAAATTGAGGTAAATTTTAATCGAAGCAAATGATATAGTAAAGCATTACGACACTCGTGGTGGTAAAGTACCAACTATGAGAAGTTATATATTATAAAACGGTTCTATAAAATTAGGGTAGTATAGCTGTCTGTTTTGGAGACACCTGTTTTACCTAAAAGTTAGCCCTTTGTGCACTTTTAATAGCGGACTTCTGCTATCAGGTAGACTTTAGTAAAACAGATACCTTCGCTTTGTTTTGTCGGTAATTTTCACGAATTTTAAATAATCATTTTCTGTTGTCCACTTACACCTCACTTCCAATTAACTTTTAATAAGTCCATATTTATGTCAAAATAACATTCATAAACATGAAATAATTTTTCGGTCAAAGTCTAAACAGCCTTAGCGAAAATATATACACTTTAGCTTAAATGATCACTAAGGCGTTAGGTCATACAATTAAAAAAGCGAGGTTCTCTCTTGAGTTATGCAAACTACAGCAAAAATTGTGCTGGATGAACACACTTTTGTTCCAAAATGTTCATAAGATTTCCAGTAGGTAAGATTTGCCCTTTAGAATCTGATGCTGTGTTCTAGACGGCCAGTCATCCCATCAGGAGTCAAAAATGATTTAATATGGCTACCTGACATTTTCAGTAGAATATTATCACATTAGCAAATTGATTAACATCATTTGGTTTCACATAAGCAAAATACAATATAAAGGCAAAATAAGAAACGAAGTTGGAAATAAGATGGTAAAGTTCTTAACAGGATGGCTCAACAAAGTCAGGGATGTTTTATAGCTAAAGAGATAATTTAAAGTTAGTTGTGACTTTCCATTTTATACCTTTACCCCACTTTCGCATAAAAGTGGCATTTAATAGATACATCTTGGCTAAAAAACTCGATCTTAACTATTTTACCAACCTTCGCACAGAAAACTTCAGCAAAGCTTGCTGTGCCTTTGTGCCTTATATTAGAAATGATAGTGATCATGCCATCGTGAAATAAGAAGCGGGTCTCCAAACTTCATTTCACTTACATGGCAACTCCTTCATTTTGCCACAACATGGCTGCGAAAACTTTTCACCTGACTTTGAAACCTCATCTAGGTTTGTATTCATTTAACTGTCAAGAACACCTAGTAAAATTGAGCAAGGCAATAAATTGACTTAATTCATTGAAAGTGGGTAAGAAAAGTTCTTAGAGGTAGCATGAAATAGGACTATTTCTCACCTTCTAGTAAACCTTATGGGATCCTAAGAGAATCTGCAGCATGCCAAAAAGGCTTTCCTTATTCGTTACACAGTTAGTCGGACTACCATAGTCAACCTCGCTGAAGTGGCCTTTCATAAAAGGCGCTAGATCACTTCCAGATATTCGAGAAATACCCAAAACACTACATGTTTGTAAATGTAGAATTTAAAAATAACACATTTTATACGTTATGTCAAGTGTTGGGACAATTTTACACACATAACATCAGTGTATGATTCGAGATTGGGGAAAGAGACGCTAAAGGAAGAGCGTTATAGCAGGATGGAGTTGATATAAAAAGATAATACATTGAATTAACTTCGACCATAAATTTTTTTGAGACAATGTCATTACCGCCTGTACGGCAATATCAAAACCCATGCCTTGTTAGTGCGAACATACTAGCGGAACAAATCACTACTGCTCTCTAATAGTAGATTGGGAACGGTTAGAGAGTATAAGGTGGAAGTGAAACTAATCAACCCACAGACAAGTATTAATGTGATGATCAGATAACTGTATTGACGTTCACTTGACTACGTAGGTTCTCTAGTCGCCTTATTTTGCACGTAGTATGCACTTGCTCTCTATGCCAACTTAGTATTTTAAAAAGGCAATGAAGACTCAGTGAGGCATATTAATTCTGATACATTAAATAAATTGAGTTAAAGTGAAAAAAACAATCCAAAGGATAATACAACTAGTGAATGTGCTATTTCAGAGGATTCATAGACTTTGGTTTTAAACGTTTTTTTAAGTACCCAAAGGTGGTCAACTTCATTGAAAACTTGGTTACAGGAATTAAAGTTTTCGTACATTTTTACACTGATATACCATTTTGAATCAAGTTAAACTTTATTTCAAGTTAGAAAATTCTAGTCCACATAGCAATATTTTGTCTGTGCATTTCTAAATGCTGCATTTTGAAGGTGTAATAAGGTTTATATGAAATCTTGTCAGGACTGATAAACAGTTTAGGGTAGCATTCAATGAAGAAAGTTGTCAACTGGGTCGAAATAATGAGCGTCGTTTGATAACGCCACATTCGAATTCAAGTAAAATTAACAGTCATCAGGGATTATTTGTATCACTCACTTATTAAATAATCGAGATCTTAAAATAAGTGGCTTTTAAAACAGATTACCATCAGCTACTCACCGGATGGCATTAGCAAAATGTTAATGGAATTGAAACTTTTATTGGAACTTGAGAGATAATTTAAATAAAACCCAACAAGTCTCAAATGAAAAAAGATTCCCTCTCCTTAAAATTAATTAACGATTCACAAAGACTGCGCCCCAATGAGTATGAATAATTCGTTTTTTATATTGTCTATGCGTCTGCTGCAAATATGGAAGTGTTTCGCTCCATCGTAAGGCATACTTTAAGGTTTTATAAAATTTTCTCTTTTTTTCATGTTCAGCGTCCATCTTCTAGAGCGTTTGATAAGTCTAATGTAGGTTCTTGGTAAATGATTACCTTTGCAATGACAGGATACCAAGTCATACGGGAAAGGATGGCACAGCAAGTTTAGGTGCATGTTTAAACACACCTTTATCAGCAAATTAGCACAAGAAGGTTTTTTATTACAAAAGCTGCGCACATTGACTACAGTCCTATCAAGTTTAACGCTTTATACCTTCCAATGGTGAAAACATATTGCCCTAGGATGCAAGTAAATCCTTGCTAGACTTAAGTCAGCATAACCCTCTTTAGATTAACACAGCTATATTTGCAACCGAAAGTATAAACAACATGTATTAATGTGTATAGCATGTTGACTTCAAGGAAGAGAATATACAATAAACAAGATAAATTCAATTTTTTATATTCGAAAATTTTAAATTGGCAAAGCTTTAGTGAACCATTCACAATAACTTAAATACCACTGGATTGTGGTGGAGCTTTGGCACCTGATCAGTGTAACACTCACTAGGGGCTCAAAAATGATAATATTGGCATATGTCCCGCTTGACGGGAAATAAAAAGACGCCTGTCAGCTTATTTGCCCTGGTAACATTGGCCATTAAAAAAAGATACTTAGTTGTGTATCGCAGGAATTTATACAAAATTTATGGAAAAATACTAGATCCATGAGATTTATATATGTTTAACCGCCCGTTAATTAAAGATACTGCAATATGAAGTTTGGACTAAACCGTCGCTTATTTAAGGTCCAAAATCAATCTCTTGTATCTTCACTTGACAATGGGACAACAGACTAATTTTGTTTTCGAGCGTGATAAATGGCGAAACACATTAGTTGCTGGTTAATAAACACAATAATAGTCTCCCAAATGTTAGCTCATTGTGATGTAAATGTGGACTAGGCCCGTTCATTAACTCACCACCATATCATAACGCTAAAAACAATAGCTGCCCTGCAATTATCTGATTACTTTTAGTCACTGTAGTTATTTGGATTATTTCATTCTGAAATTCAAAGCTGTTATTGCTTGTATAGTTGCAAATCCGCCCATAGGAGTCTACTTCGGCATTGGCAGAATCTGCAACAGCACAAAGTCAGACGCGGAGCGCCGCAGTATAAAGTACAGAGCTGTAATGATAAATAGATAAAAAACACGCCACGGCTTAGACAAAAGACATTTTCATTTCCCATCTAAAAAAATGAGACAATGTCTAATGACTACATGATCGTTTTTCTATCTAGGCAATGGTTATCCGTTAATAAATTTTGTTAAGACCGATGAAACGATGAAAAGTACCTCAAAGTTATACCCAGCTTTATTCCATTGGTCATTTTAGTGTGAATTTCAGGACTATCGAAAGCATAATGCTACACTTACAAGTATCTTTTGTAAGAACCCAGTTTTGTGAAAAATGCTATTCCTATTGCTTTACTCGTAGACAGTTTATTTTTTTAACATTTTTAGCAGCTTCCAGTAAAGTGGGAAATTGTTTACGAAGAAATCGTGATCAAAAAGCGCCTGATGACATAGGCCAGGTTGGACTGAAAGAGGCTACTTTGAAGGTAACCCATTTACAAGACAGGTACGAGTAGATAATGGCCCAAGAATGGAAGAATAACAATTGAGTTACACTCTTCCATCTCAAACAGAGGCACCTGAACAGCTGCAAAATAAAAATAATTACTTTTTAAAAACATTAGGAGGTGTTTTTGGAACCACACTGTAGATAAGTTGCGAAAGCTTACGCAATTCAAAAATATGGATTTGACACTATATTTTACAAAGTAAGAGCAGCGATTAAGTAACCACCTTCCAAATAACAAATCGTTTGGTACAGTTTCTTTGGGTTATCATGTCAAAGGAACAGGTTAGCTCATTAGGCCGTCTAAGGTTTAGGGTAGAAGTGTGAAGTATATACTTTTGGTGCATATTTGCTAGCAAAATGTAAACGCTACTATAATTATTGATAGCCAAGTAATACATGATGCTATTGAAAATATATTTCACTAGTTGAAGCTTAATGGCAATCGCAAAACTTTGTTTAGAAGACACAAAATTATACTTAGCACTAGTTGTGCGTAAAATTATAATTGCTTGGGTAAAATAAAGTGTGTTTGAAAAGAAACCCGTTCAAAAATGAGATTCATAAATGCTCAAAGTGACCAGAACTAGATACACCTTTAATGTTTTGCCATATGAACCACTATTTGTGCCTTATTATAAAATATTTACCAACCACGTTCATTCATTTGGTGGGACAAGGCCCCAAAGCTTATCACATAACGCAAATAACTGCCGATCTACTATGCTATCATACATATCCACTGATTGCATGACATTTTACAATGAAAGCACATTTTAAATCTCCTGTGAACTATTTCGTATTTTAAACATCGCGGTGCCTCCGCAATACGATCCATTCTAACAAAAATTTTAGTGTTTAGCAGACAATGTTGTAACTTTGCAAAATTATTTGGACCCACAAACTAGATTTTTGCAACCGTGATACGGAGTACTTGGGTTTTTCATTGAAACTAAATGCTTCCCTTCCCTTGTCAAAATAGGTTTTTGAAACCTTAACATTCAAGCCTTTTAACTCTTTAACAGTCATGGGCGAAGTACTTGATGGACGTTGATAGGAGAAAGGTGAACTGATATAATGCAATAAATTTAAAATTGGTAATAATGTTGCCAAAAGGGTTTTACCTGGACATATCAAAATTCAGCATGCTTACATTGTGAAAGGTTTTGGTACATTCGACTAAAGCATATGATGGTTGGAAAGTGAAATCGTTTGTAGCTATCCTTATTTTGGCTTCGATTATTTTAAGCTTAGATCAGTGCAGTACTAGATTGTTTATTTGGATGAATACCTCTTATGATGCATTCTTCCATTCTATAGGTCCGATTTGGATGGAAATTTTAGTAGTATATATTCGGTTGGTAGATATTATCACTCAAACAAACAAATACAAGTATTACATGGTAGTTGAAATGGAGAAATGGGAGTTATATTCAACATAATAATAAAAACATAACCCCTAATTGAGCCGAATGCTCAGAGTTAGCTGTCGTAATGGTATTTGTTATTATTTTCCAGACTGCATCGCTCCCATTTGTTTTTGGGCATAATGTAACAGTAATGAATGTTTCGAGACCAGCTACAAATTTCGCTAGCATGGCAAAACTTGTATTGGTGGTTCCTACAAAGGCAGTAACGCAACCCACAAAACATAGTCTATTTAAATGTACCAATAGTAACCAAACGTGTCCAATGGGCAAATTCAGCGGAAAATCTGTAAATAACTACATAAAGTTACATATATGCGATTGTCTCAATATAGTCTATACGATACATTCATTCAATAATGTGCGGCTACAATCTGCAACATATCTCGGTGATACTAGGGGATACCTATGCCTTTTAAGTCAGGCTTAAAATTATGCTTTTTAGTGGCTAATTTGAATATATACTCCAAGAATTTCATTTACCATTATTTTGCCGATCCAATCAGGATTCTGGTAATGGCACCATAACAAATTAGGACATGCGATTGCAGGTACTGAAAATCAGGTTTTCATCGGTTGACCTGGTAGGATAACTTTAGTCAATGCGAATTAAAAGAAGAAGGACGAGTCTTCGAAGTAACAATCGAATTTTGAATACAAATCTACACAACATGGCCAATATTTTCGCTTTCCAATAAATGACAGTACTATCTCCAATGCAGAGCGATTTTGATAGGCCCTCTACTGTCCAATCCGAGTAGAGCATCAAGCGATCAACCTTAGAAGAGATAAAAAGAAACTCATTTTACTTATAACTTGCAGTCCCTAACGCAAGAAAACATCTGACACCAAATGCCACTTTGGCTGCCCGGGAAGGTCAGGTGCTTGGAATAGGCCTCTGTTGCAGCGTTCAATGCAATCATAAAATATTCATGCGTGTGTCTGGACTAGTCCTGATTCCTTGCAGAGAGCTCTTTCACTCATTGCAGCATTCAGGTATGTTTCGTGCAACTTACTTTTTAAAAAATGTATTTTACTCTTTCTTGCAAAATTATTTGCTACACATTTGTATTATGTCCCATGATAATTATGACTAATTCATTTACTTATTTTGTTTTGAAATATTCTGATGTAAATGTTCGAACATAGCACACTTTAACTTCATTTTCACAACAAAAATGTCGGTTGACTATTTGTGTAAATCCAATTGCAAAAGTGTCAATAATCGGAATTAGGCTTGATACAACTTTATGTTTATTACAGTTTTTCCGCAATGGGGTTATGTATAGAGTACAAGAGCACACGTATTTTAAATAAATGGTTAATTTCTAAAATCATTTTAAGGAGACAAGACTCATTAAAATGTGCATCTTGCCCTAGCTCTGCCCCTTTTGCTGCTCATGGTGTTCATAGCAAGGTTGGTCTCAAGCCGTGTTTGTTTTCGATTCGAGGAGGAAGTGAAGGCATGCGCAAAGAAATGCAATCTTCCAGTCCCCAACGACCAGTCAATTGGTTACGACTTCGGCTATGGTTCTCTGAACGAAACGGAGGAAATGTGCAGGTATATTTTCTCGTGTGTTGGGTTAATTTCATGCCAAATCCGCCATCTTGCTTTAATAAACAGTGTTGTGATTAGAGGAGTGTTTTACCATAAAATTAAAAAATAGACAAGTTGACATTATTCGGCTTCATATAGAAAATGAAAACATAAACACATAAATTGCTCCTCATTATGCATGTGATACACACTTGTTGGGGGTGAATATGCTCAAAACATCCAAAAATGGCACAGTTTGTTTAAGTAGAGGCAGGGTCCAATTCCGGATTAAATTATAGCAGTAGTGTTTTGTTCTACTTAACGGTATAACGCATTAATGGTTAAAGCTAAAGCCACCAATTTTCACGTTCCATACAAGCATTATTTTAATTGCCCTTCTTTTAATCAGTTCACCTCAAATGCGAAATGCGTAGCAAAGTTATTCCTCATCTGATATTGCGCATGTGCGTGCAATGGACAAATATAAAATTTTGATAGTGATTGTCAATTAAAAACAGTCGACAAATGCTACGAAGTGTTAGAACTCACATCAGGACAATGAGAATTTTATTACTTATCGAAATAGTAAGGTTTTTCGGGGTATTGACGTTTAATAGGAGCTATTTACTTATATTTGATAGAATGGTAAATCTTTAAGGTTTAATATGAGCCATTATTTTTAATGCCGAACTGTAGGCTGTCGTTTATTAAATGGCTAATTTTATAACCTAATCTACCTTTTACCCTTAATTACTATGAAAAATGGATGCAAAGATATCTGCTGGAATAAATACCATTCACATTTCCGTTCTTTTGGCATACGCAAGTCATATTTTATTGTGCCTAAGAATACCGTTATCACCACCACACAGCTAGATTAAATAGTTGCGTGCTTCAGGCCTTTTTGCTTTGACATGATCAAGAGTATATTTACAGTCGCCGTTTAGCTATCAGCAATATTTGTAACCAATCTTTACAAAGTATGCTGCTTGGTCAGCAGATGCCGAAGAAATGTGAAGTAGGTCTGTACATTCTGTAATAAGCAGAATGATCTGCACTAATAATTATTTTTTTGGAATCATTTGGATTGGGCGAAAAATGCGGGTTGCATGAAGACAATTTTTGAAAATATTTTAGAAAGGTACACAAGATTTGCGTAGTATGAATGAAAAAAATCTTTTCTGGGCATCAAATTCAAAGTTTGCTTGGAGTGCATTTTCATAATAAAATTCTAGGGCGTTTTGGTTTCTAATCCATGGCAGTTTACAGCAATTGATAATGCATGTTCATTTTCATGCCAAAAATCAAATGGCAAAATAAATTATAACCGAAATTTTAAATAAAGATGAACTTAATAAAATGGTTACAGAATGAGTAATTGCGCCTCTATTAATTCAGCCCGTAGTCAAGGTGATAACGAAGGTTATTTTAGATGATATTCAACGGGAATCAAGCCCCTCAAAAAAATAATTGCAAGTGATATATTCAAGATTCCTAAAGTCAGTGAAAAGCTGGCAAAAATTTAGCTAGAGCATATTATTTTACAATCCATTCCGCTGTCAACTTTCTTTTTAGGACCCGAGGCCATATAACAATTTTTCAGTGTATGCAGCGAATTTTGGAAAAGAAATGCCAAAGCAACGCTGAGGAGCGCTACCTCAAAACAATCTGGTCTTTTACCCTCGATACCCGCCGATCTGAACAGGCTGCGATATATTTATGCAAGGAACACAATCTCCAAAGTACGTCGTAGTGTCGTGTTACTACTGATTACATGACTAATAAAGTGCAGCAGAAATATAATTTTTCTCTATATTTTGACGCCATTTTCACTGTAAAAGGTTAACAACTTTTGCTTATACTTGTAAATTACTAAATGAAATCTTGTGATAGCACTGAAAACTCCTAATTCACCGTTGAATCAAATCTAGCTTTTGTCAAAAATTAACTTGAAGATTAGTAAATATTATAAATATACTCAAACCAGACCAATTTTTGGCAAAATGACTGCCAAATGCTTAACTAGTAGCGCTAATAATCACCTAAATAAAGGAATATAAAGCAATATGTTTCATGATATGAATAACTTTAACAGAAACTGTTCGTAACCTAACGGGGATGGCAGGCATAAGCAGCAGCATGAAGCAGTTTAAAAGATAACGCATGCTTCCAGACTTCTGCATCCCGATCTGTTCATTTTCTTGTTGTACAAAAAATGCATTTTACAAGAAACGCTTTATCGTTTATGAAGTTTAGTAGATGTTCCCATAATTTTCCACTTAGGGGTAAAAATGCCCATTATTGCTCACAATATACCCAAGTTCAAGAAATATTTTAGAACTCAATGAAATCGACTACCACATTCAAACCAAATTAAAGATGAGACCCTGTGTTGGAATGTTTCATTGCCTTTGGAGAACCAAGAACTTTTTGGCGATTCGTAAATGGAACTCACTTTTAAGACCTTCAAATTTCTTAAATGCTGCATGTTCTGAATCAATTGTTCAACCTTCTTTTTGGCACAAGAACATTAAACGAAACTCCCGCAGGACTTCAAGAAATATGAATTTAAAACGGAATCTGGATGTATCTTGGTGAAAATTGTTCACCATGGTTAGCTCTCATATCATTACTGCATGATCAATGACTGCCCTATAAAACAATATTTTCATGACATTTTACCTTTCTTAGTCATTTATCTCATAAAGCTAAATGATGCAAAAATCTTGTAAGGTATCTAGCAATCATGCTTTACTAAATTTATGGAATCACTTTTTATGGTGTACATTAAAGGCAAGATTATTGAAACTGTTTCTCATTTACCCAAACTTCAGCTACCTGGTCAAGTCTGTATGCTATTTTCTGTTTAAAATATCCTAGAGAATTACAATTTGTACATCCTCACCAAACCACTGCGCTTGTTTGTCAAGGCTGATGAAAAAATACAGCAAGAGTTGTTTTATACAGGGCATTTTGTCTTGTGAGCAGTACGAAAAATGTAGGACACTTGGACGACTGTCCGTCCAATGAAGCAGACTGCTACTTGTGTAAACATGCCCGCCTACAAGGCTTTTTTCTGCTAATTGGAGTTATGCTATTTGGAAACATTGTCAGCATTCAAATTATCACCCCTGCGGTGCATTTTCAATAGTTAAAGAATGAAAGAATTTTCCCATTTTTAACCGTTAGGATAGATGCGAGTGCAAACTTAGCCACACCAAATCTAGTAGCACTAAAAGAAGAAGTTTTTAAGATGGGTTATATCCACTCCCTTTAAAAGAAAAAAATTTAAGCAACAGTTCCCAAACCACATAATTTTGCTTTCAAATGAATAATGGACTTTACGGTTTTTAAATGTCAGCAGTTGTACTTAGCGAACCACGCAATTGGCCTAAAATACTATGTATTTGTTTGAAAAGACATCGTCTAATTTGAATTCTTCATTCACCTAAATTAATGCGCAAAAGGCATAAATATATGTTAAAAAGTGTTTGAGGGTGTTATGAGACCTTACTTATTTCCTCATATCAACAAATAAACGTGATGACAGTATTTTGACATTTAGACTACGGGGAACGTAATTTATTTAAAGGGGAATCACAAAAATGTGCACAAATTCCACTCTAGTCTTCCGCCGGCACAGAAATGGCTGTCTTCGTACGCAAGAGAAAAGGGCTGAAGTCTGTTCCCAAACAAGGAACTCTACGATGCTGGAGGTAGTGAATGCACTACGAAGTGAATCCTTGAAGTCATACACCACTCCGGAAATACACCTAGATCGACTGAAATCCATTCTTGAAAAGTATGAATGCAAGTAAGTGTACACCTGCTGAATCAGAATGTGGTCTTATTAAATGGGGGTGAATTAATTGACAGCAACGAGACCATTACTGCCAGCGATACAGTTTTGTCACTTGATTTTCAACCTTTTATAGTACCTAGGTAAGTAGTTTTGCCATTCCCTCTAGTACACCATCTGTTCTGAAAACTCATTGCCTAGATTCTCAGTATTACTAAAATTAGATAAGCACTACTTTAAATGACAATTAGGGTAAAGATTCTACTTTGAACTGTGTAGGTGAATGAACTTCTCCTTACCAATCTAATTGAAGTAATTGTTTCGTTGATGCTCTAAGAGGGAAAAGTGTGATGAGAGTAGTAATTGATAGGGTAGGATACAGCGGGAAGTTAATAAAACTATGACAAAAATGGTCCCTACATGGCACTTTATTGATTTACTAGCATATTGTTTTGTTTTAGGGACGATTTGTCTAAGGCAGACACATTTTGAAGTCATGGCATCTTGCTTTTGGCCTAAAATTACAAAACGGACGCATTTTTCGATTGCATTAAAACATCATAAGCGTTTTTTTAGAGAAGAATTGTAAAGGAAATCTAAACCTTAATTTGTACTTGGATCATTTATTCATGCACCAAAATAAGTATTTATCGATTCCAACGGAGTTACCATCTGGACATTCCGCCTATTTATTGAACTGAGAAATACTACTTGACGTTTTACTGAATTTTAATTTTCATCTTACCATTTACAGAGGTAAAACAGAATTACTATGCTTCAACAAGTTTCTACTATCGTGCGATATTTACAAAGTTCCTCGCGAATATTCTGAAAGCCGACCCAAAAAAGCATTAATTTTATACCAAAGTGCTTTATTCCCCTTTTTTTGTTAAATGTACTGGCATCGCTAAATTTGCGTGTCCTGTGCCTCATCTTTGTTGTAAAATGCGCACGTTTCGGCTTTTCTAACAAACAACTTACATCCAGAGACGTCTCCTGATGAATATCGAAATGTCAATTCGCATACGGCTTTTGACAAATTTAGCTTCTATTTTCCAAAAATCATTTTGACAGAAAAATTTGCCATATCTTGTATTTTTCTTACTTTAATTAGAGGTGCCATTCATCTTTTATAAGCCCTTAGCGCCTAGACAGGACCTTTTATTTTTATAATGGGTCAAGCGTGGAGACGAAACAAAGTGATAGTTATTTTCAGCATTTCTAGTAAACGTGCAAAGCCTATTCTCCCAGTATGGCCTTTTTGTAAGCTTACTGTAAGTGCTTGTGTTTTGAAGTCATCCCAAACACATGTAGAGTACTATGCCTAAACTTTTCCTAGCGTCAACGGTCTTGCATAAAGATATGGACATTAGAATGAATGGGGAAACTTGTTCATGAATAATTTCAAGAAATTTTTCACTAGACAAGTGAACCAACGTTTTAAAGAACTATTAAAAATTCACGTCTCATTCGCAATTAAAATAAAATTTCTTAGTACTTCCTTTTTATGCGAACTATGGTCTCAAAATGTACCCCATTTATTTTAAATCTACAGTCTACAATAAGCTACACTCTAATTGCACATATATGTCTGCATCGAAACCTTCGTAACATGATTATTAATAGGGTATCTGCATAAATGCATATTATTGCTCTCAGTGCTAGAAGTTTCCCTTAAAATATAATATAGGGAACGAGGATAATGTAATTCTTTAGTCAAAGTATTGAAGATTCTAATTCCTGTGAATAGTAAGAATCGTTACTAATTTTTAGCCTTACCTTGAATGTATTCAAAGTTAGTCCAGTTTTAAGATGTTTTTTGTAGAAGAATTGGGATAAAGTGCACACCCGAATATTTTTTGTGTTGTAGACATTAAATTAATCTCGATGCCTTTCGTTGTATCACTTAGTAACTTCGGAAAACAATTATCAACAAGCAGTATAAACTAATGAAAGACGAAGCTAGTATATATACAAATGAAGGTGACAAAACACTGCCACTTTTCAGATCGATTAAGGCAAAATTGGATTGTCTGTACAATCTTTTGCGCAACACCTGTCACCCAGACGCGACTCTGCTCATTCTTAACTACTTCAAGGAGACTCTTCCACCAGACTGCGTTTTCTCACCTTCGGCGGAGGTAGGACACAAACCTCTGCTACCACCGCTGCCGCCTATGTCACTCCCCAACGCATTTCCGCAGTCGCCAAGTCGTCGACGAACCCATGCAGAGGTTATGAGCGACTTCCCTCACGCCCGATACGTCAATGACGGTTTCTACGACGATCCGATCTCCGCACACATCACCTCATCCTCAATGTCTCTCACACCCTTTTCAATGATATATCTCATTTTACTCTTTGTTATCTTTCCATCATGAGAATGTTACCTCAGACAAGTTTTATCCCTTCAATGCAAGTTTATCACATGAGTAGTAGTGTTGTAGAATGTTCCAAATGGTCTGCATATGAATGGATAAAGAAAGGAATATAGAAGGTAGATGCAAAATGGTGTCTCGGAGTGCTGAGTATACGTTTTATACTCGTACATATAACTAATCTAGCCTAATGAAAATGTGTTCTCCGAAAACGGACCGGTAGATGCTGAGTGCATATTTTGAAATAGCATGACATGTTAGTAATAAATGGATTTTAAATTTGTTTAAACATGAAAATCAAATGCACATTGTCAAATGCGTAAAAATAACACGTATTAAATGTTTATTCGAGCAAAAACAGGGTTTGGTGCACAACGTCTCACAACCGCAATATGATGAATGTTTCATGTCGACATGAACAGTTTGGTTTCATATCCTTCTGTGCATGAGTAAAAGGGAAATTCTACTTGATAATCTTAAAAAACCGTATAGCTTCTGGTGTCAAAATAGGATTATCTCATTGTCACCATTTCTCGTTTCATTAACTTTATGACAAGTCACAAAATGCTGAAATTTTTAAAGTTCACTATCTAATGCACTAGAACAAGTTATATGGCTTTCTAAAAGAAAATGAAATATAATATTATGAGCAACAAAAGTACAGCAAAGGTTTGAGCTGGATCAATTTGGGTAAATTTGAGATAAAATATTGTGCTGAAAACAAAGTAATTCGGTTCGGTTCTTTTCAACCTCCTTTGGTCCTCTTATGACGGAAAAACCTGTAATGATATCTGGCTAACAATGAAGTATTTTCATAAAATCAAAAGACAACTACTCCGTTCATTACTTCTTCATGCACCGATCGGGTTCGGGCACCTTATAATTCCCTGCGTTTTCTTGTCACAGGCCATTTTGAAATGGTTGAAAAATGATATTTAATGTTAGCACACAAAACATTTCACACTTGTTTAGTGCACAATGTGTTCCATAAGCATATCATACCAAGCTGTTCTGGGAAATGCGCTAACTTTTTTTCCGGATTTTACCATCGTAACACAACTCATTTAACAAACCAGCCCATATTGCGAATGATGCAATAATCTTGTTAAATTTTGCGTAAATATGTTAAAAAATACATGCTGTACGATTATTCCTCAATTTGTCGCTAGTTTCTTATTAATAATTAATTATTTTGTCCATTGTAAAAAGCAGGTTTCGCCTGCAAACGTCGCTATACTAAGTCTGCAATACTTAAGCCCGTGGGAAGAGGAAGGTACACGTGGTGTCACAGTTTGCAAGATATATTTTAAAAGGTAATTTTACAGAAAAGGAAACAAAATTGGCCTCTCATTTGTGCCCTGTTTTTTGGTTATTTCAAAATATGGAAAATGGAAGTAAGTTGATAATGCAGGACTTTTATATACGCCTTTTTGATGACCTTATTGCAAGCAATCATATTGGCGAAATCACGAAATTCTTATGACCAAATGGCTGCAGCCTAATGCAAAAAGGGAAAATGCAAAAAGGAATAGGAATTTTAGAAGTCAAAATGTTGAATTTAATGTGCAGACGATAAATAATTAGGACCTTAAAATTCTCAAACGATTTCAATAAATAATAAGCTTAGAGGTTGCGCATTCTTCCCATTGGAATACCGTCCATTCCATCCCTCGCACCTCTATCCGCACTCTACATTATTCAGCATTCAGAAACAAATGTGTTACTTCGTGACGTTTTTGAGTACCTAAAACATTTTCCATGTACAGACAAAGTTTTTCTTTCTTACTTTTTATTTCCTTCCAGTACAAAAATCCGTGGCTTCTCAAAAAGCAATAAAAATAAATTTTGTAGGAATTTTGGGGTTGCAAAATGATTTAGCATTAAGCGGTATAACTGCTCTAGCTTTATTTAACTAACGTAGGTAGCAAAATTACTTGAGAGGATTTCGTCAAGTAAGTAAACTTACTCCTTAGTGTCTCTCCCAATGAATAATTTTGGCAGTTACTTATTCGAAATATGCCTGCTCCCCGCTTAATTCACCCTCGAAGCCGACGCTGCAAAGCAAGTAGAATGCATGCACTAGTGAACAACACATTTTGACGGTGTCCCTGCAATATTTCTTAACTAAGAGCATCTAGCGCAAATTCTTCCCTACAATGAGTTAGCAAATCTTAGGGACATTTTGTGCATTTATTTTGCAGAGCATCAAAATTTAAATCGACGTAAATAGCATCTAATTAAAAGGCAAAAAATACTGAGTAGTTCAGTGCTTAATGCAAGTTGAAAGGCAAATGGATATGCATTAATGGATACAGTCTGATTCGCGTTACTATATGTATTTAACTCAAATGTCTCTTTTACTTTTTCTTTAAAGTGTTGGTAGAACTTACAAACTGATCTTCAAGCCAAGTTTACTTTATGGGATGAGCGTACACATGGGATTCCCAAATAAATGTGTCAGGTTGTTTATCTTTGACAATTAATTTGCACATGATTTATGTTTACTTTACAGCCTTCAAATTAATAAAGTACTAAAACTTATTTGAACAAGCCGCACAGAGCTTGAACACATCATATTTGCCAGTTTTAAGGCCAAGAACAATCACCCTTTCCTCTCTTAAAGGATCAAAAGGATTCGCGAATCTGCTTTCAGTTTTCAGAACTAAATGTCTCTCACAGCATTCACAGATTCCCAATCCTTGTAACCTGAGTTAGTTGTGGTTTGCTTCATATAAGACCACTAAATTTTTATCACGATAGTTACGCCAAAGATGTTATTTTAGCAGTTCTGTAGACGTTTAACTAAAGCTTAGTTTTAAAAGTGAGGTTGAAAAATTGAATTCAGTTAATACTTTTAAAATGCTATTTTTTACAAAACGGCCTGCGCCTTCAATCTTTGCTCATTTAACAGCATTGATATGAAGTACCATAACTAGGTCTAGCATGTCATTCTTTGGAGACCCGTTACAAAAAATTAATGATTTGTGCTACTGATGTTTCGCACGAAAAATAAAGCTTTTTATGTGTGCTCTTTAAAAACTCAGTTTTTATGCCGGCATACACTTGCCTTGGGTTTGAATGAATTAAGTAGTGCCTCATGGAATGACTTGTGTATATCGGCAGGGTATCTAGTGAGGAAATTGCTCAGTGTCGCAGGGTCTGGATTTGAAGTCTTTGCAGAAGATGTAAAGATTACTGCTCCATTAGATCAAAAGGAAGCACGGTTCTTTGGCACTTTTATATCTTGATTCACCTGATATGCTATTTTCTACTCTGCTATTAAAGTATTATGTTATGTGCCTTATAATCTCGTTGGGTTCCCACTGTTAGCACGCCTGCTTTGGGTCGACAGATCTTCAGATATTTGCACTAGTAAATTTTTGCTGTTTCTTGACCCTGTTCCTACATTAGAGTTTTATTTGACAAAAAAGGGGTTGATTGCACAGTCCTTATTTCTGCAGATACAGGCCACAACTAAAAGTTAAGCCTTAGAATATTTGTATTCAGACTTCAAAGTGAACCGAGTAGAATGGAGCAGTACTTTGTAAAAATATGGTACAGCAGTTATTTTAATATATTTAATGAGATTCAGCCATAAGAATCTATTTGGGGCGCTCTCAGAATTCAAGAATGGGACCTTTTGTGTATTTTTTTGCTATTTTTATTTTACATGCTTAAAAATGTATTTACAAAATTTATATATGTAGCGGATGTCACAAGGGATTCGTTCAAGCGTTGCCTATATGAGTTTTAAATCGGAATTCCTCCCAGCAATTAAGAGAATTTTGCTATATATTCCTGTGGCGCTGCTTTTTAATGAAAATAGTTGCACTTACCGTTTTATTCAATGTTCTAAGCCCATTTTCTGCAGAAAACTTTATGGAAGAACAAGGATTTAGGCTTGTTATACCAAATTGCTTCAAACGTTAGAGTTATTTTAATGCATTTAATTAAATCGCGTTTTAAATTGGCTGGTGTTAAGGAAAATGGAGATTCTAGCGCAGAATTTGTGTAATGAGGCTTTTATTCATTATAGATTTAGTCCAAGACCTCTTAGAATGATTAGGGATATTTTTTCTTAGTATACGTAAACGATGCTATTGGTCATGATAAAGAGTTCTAAACAGGATCATGTTAGCAGATTCTAATTTCTTAGCCGGTACAGTTAGCATCGTAGGGATTTACCAACTAAATAAATCGAGCACTTTAATCACGATATGATCTCTAGTGTATAACAACCTGCCACAATACATCTGTATCTGCGCAGTTATTCAATGCAGGGAGTTTCTTGCAAAAAAACGTAAAATGCGTGTGAACAAATGTACAGCTTTGCAGAGTACCAAAGTGGAATTCAAATAAAGACTTAGGTTGAAAGGGACAATTGTATTGCTGAATAATTATATCATGAATAAGTTGAGAGTTCGGAAGGTAAAGTAAATTAGGTAAAGTTTCTAATGTTATATGATCAAAGAGAAATGCTTGAGCATATTTCGAGGTTTCACTGTAAAAGTGATGTTTTTCAGGAGCGATTAGCATTCCTTCTTACGTGAAGACACGCTGGAAAAGAAGGTTCAGGATGCTTCTTAGTTAGAATTCTAGACCTATGAATTAAAACAGTAAATACCTCCTTTTTAATAGTTTCTTGGTTTAGGCTCTCGCAGACAGGTATCACTGAAGTATTGCGAATATTTAATACGATATTGTAGAAGATATTCAACAGTTCTTGCTGTAAAATTAGGTATTTGTAAAATCAAACAGATTACAGCGCCAAACCTAAGCCTACTACTATTTCAAAGCTCTAGCATCAAATTCCTTGCTTTAAATTACTTATATACTTCGACTTTTGCACAATCATTGTGATGTCTTTGAACGACAGTGAAGTTGATGCCGCATAAACCAGTTAAAATCTATTATTTTGGGGAAAAATTGACTGATCAGAGAAAGATGTGGTCTCGATAAACAAGTACTTTTCCTTAAAAAGAGTGGATTTAAACAAAAAGGAATGTTAGTTCTTGTAACACGTCGTACAATGGCAATTATACTTTTTTAAATGTTGCAAAAGTATACTTCCCAACATTATATCACATATATAGTTTTCATGGCATTTGAATGTTGCAGAATTCCTACAAATAGCACTCGCGTTTGTAATTTTACTGGTATGTTTGCACTACTTAAAAGGAGGAAACCAAACAATCCCTCTGTAAAAAGTCAAACACTCAGTGGGAAATCCTTCTAGTTGTTTGCTTAGAAATATCGGATTAAGGTGATGGTTGCATATGTGAATATTGTAATGCATTGTCAAGGAAACAGCCTGATTGAATTTCTGGTTTGAAATCAACCATCCAGATGATCCACAGTAAAATTGAGTCGGCTTTTTTTAAGATGAAATGTTAGGAGTAAAAACCGGTGCTATTGGTTGTTATGGTTTGAGCGACCAGGACGGAAGAACGGTAAGGCAAACTGCTTGGCCATTAGACACGCACCGTTTGTTGCCGAATTTCTGGGCGTTATTTTTTGCAACGCTTTAAAATAAAATCACCCTTGGCTGTAAAAGTGCTTATCTGCATTTTAAGCATTAATAAAAATAGAGCAAAGGAGAGGCGAATTTTGTCTAACGCCGGGAACAAAGACATCATTAATAATAATTTCAAAAATATCTGCATTAGGGATCTCTTGGATTGCAACTAATGAACCGTTCTAGCTTTTTTACTAAAGTGTTTTAACGAATTTCACCTAAAGAAACCCATATTGACAGATTATGTATAATTAGCCCTTGAAAGAATTTTGAATCAGAGTTTAATTCTTAAACGCACTTGAACCGATCTGTCGTATTATGGAAATATTAAGTTGCAAATTACACTTATGCGAAATATTTTGGATGCTCTTAAGTAAATGTTATAAGTACAGCGCCATAACTGACTATGGTTTTATGTTTACTTTTGTATTAGCTAAAAGTTCCCCTTTACCTAAAACGCTAGCTCTGTTTCTCCATTTAACAATGATTAATAGCAAATCTTAGTGCTTGCCGGATTTATGAAAGTTGTGTAAAAATGCAAGAAGTTCAAAGTACTCGCTTAGGAATTAAGATGTACTACTTTTTGTAGTAGTGAAGAAATTTTCTCAATAACCTGATTTATCGCCTCTATATTCAAAATGCTTGAGCATTTTTTTTGGTTTGCAATATTTTTGCCAAACGCACATTTTTACAATCCCAATAGTTCCTAACGTTTGCTTAGATTTATATGGGCAACTCAGAAAATTCATTTTGGAAGTTGCAATCAAATGTCATTTTAAGCATCTCTGTTGTAGGAGGGGTTGTTTGATTTTACTATCGTAGAGCAAACCGTCTCATGTAACCCCCTTCATGCATGATTAATTACAGCCAGTTCTTACAATGTTATTTGTTTTCATAATTGATGACTGGGTTTATTCCAAATAATTTTACGATTTCTTTACTCAATTTTACCTTTAGCAATTCCTTGGTTTTGTTTTAACTAAAGTAGAATCTATTTTATCCTAAAATGCTAAAGGATGTGAGATGATTCTGCCTTTTTTAATCCAACAAAGGGAATTACTTGATTTTTTTCGTTGTCACTCACCCATTAACTTTAGAAGATTAGTTCAACAAAAAGATGATGAAATTTAAAACAGTTTTGCCGAAGTTCATTAGTATGAAGCATTTCCACGAATAAAAAAATCTATCCGTATTTTCAGATTTTTCAAAGCAGTTGTTTTCTAGCCGTGTTCAAGCTACATTACACAATGCGGAAGGGATTTGATCCACTGAAATCACGTCCTGGTAATTCACACCACTGCACCGATGATATCAATGCTGACAACATTTCCTCAATAACATTAGGGGAGGTGCTCGTTTTCACTCTCATTTGCTATTACGCTTGTATGCAGGCTAAATCACCAGCTACTAGCCAGCAATTCATTTCAGTCCTGTAAACATCTCTGCCTCCGCCGCATTAAAAATTGAAATTTTTAAATGGCTGTATGAGTAAGACACTCATACGCACTTACACTCATAAATGATGAGGTAGTTTATTTCTTGCCTACTGCCCAAATTGCATGTTGTTAGGAAAGTGGTCAATAAACAAGCATGCTGCCTTTCGTAAATTGGCTTTCATTTATTTAGACCATTATTAGAAAGATATTATGCATGCATCTAAGGCTTTAAATAAAGGGGAATGAAGTCCATTTCCCCCAGACAAGAACTAAAGTATATCACTGCAGTTGTAAATAGGGGAATAATGTGTGGGTAAATCATACTAGATATGGCTTTAACAAAAAGTAAGTGAATATACTCATGGCTTACTCTAATGTAATAAAAATAGGTTATTTGTAATGCTACCTGCAGCTTAATCAGCAATTATTACTTTAACATGAGATATGTGTGCTCAATGGACTATGTTATGGCATTTATTGGCAGTAACAATTATATGCAGCATATATAAAAGATCGTTTTGGGTTGTTATACAATACATGCGAAAAATATTCTTCCAGTATGTTCTCTAATGTGCAACTAAATCAGTAAGCCTTAAAAAATTTTCTATTTTGGTGTCACCTGCGCTACTTAAGGGACTGCTTGGCACGTTTTTGGAGGAATGCTTCACATGGGTATCCAAAAGACATTGATATATGAGTTCGGTTTTATGTAAAGAGGCGTCATTAAAGACCGCTAAATCTAAAAAAGAGAGCAGAAATGGAGCAAGGGCAATGAAATTAGAAATAATAACTTTAATCTAAAACACTCGATTAATAGGATTTGTTGTTTTGTAAAGGAGTGAGAAGAGAGGCAACATTTAGGTAGTCATAACTTTTTGGCCTGATTAGTTTGCCATTAGCGTGTTGCGTGTGTCAGCCAATAAAGAGAGAGTTGGCGGAAATTGACCGCCGAGAACTAAGCGGACACTGTGATTGCTCGTGCAAAATTCCTTCTGACTTTGGATGCCAAATTTAAGTCGCGAACGTTGAATTATCTGTTTTGCCAATGATAAATGCATCTGCTTCCCCATTTTACCATTGATACATGTTGTGCTAGCATAAAGCATAATAATTCTTTAAACACGTTACTTTGGTTTCCAATGTGGTCTGCAATATTTAATGCATGCTTTTAGACCTAACATTAACGAATTTTGGCTGCATCTGAGGCATATAAAACAGGAAAGCCACACCTAACAAGTAAAATAATGTTCCAGAAAATTAAGAATGTTAATAGAATTATGTAGTCAATAGTAGTTAAAGACTTTCAAATTTTGAGAAACACTTTCCTTAAATTAAGACGCTAAGCTCCCTTCATTCCAGTCATAACTGCCACGTGGGTAAATTAAGCCATAGTAATATTATGTCATATTTTGCAATTCTTAGAATAGTATCAATTAAAAAACACCCCCAAACCAATGCATTACTATAAAAGTACTTCCGAGTAGTCAAAAGTTTTAAGCATCCTGTGCAAGCATTAAAGTATTTGACATTTTAACCTTAATTTAACCTTACACCAGTCTGGAAGTGTTGCAGAAGATACTTGTAAATCCCTTCCCTTTATTCCCAAAACCGTGGCGCCTACTAAGTTCGTACTTTGTCAGATAATTTTATTTTGGTGAAGCAAAATTTTATTTTCAAGCGAAATTATAAGTGACTCCGTCTACTTACGGAAAAGTCGTAAAGAAAGCGATTTCGAAAGTCGTAAAATGCTCACAAGCATCTAAAACAATGTCAGATAAGCTTTCCCTTATTTCGGTACCAAATTTTTGTGATCGTTTTTAATTTTTCTGCATGAGTTAAGGCAATATAGCATAGTTCTAGGCGCTTTACATGATTATTAGAATTAAAATAATGGTTTTATCTTAATATGGTATTCACTTTGCTGTACAAAAATTACAGGTTACTTAAAGCTATGAATAATGCAATATTTTACCAGTATTAGCAGAGTGAAATATCAAAATGCTTAATTTCTCCACCTCGTGAACTATAATGAATATTAGACTTATTTGTTTAAACGTTCAACCTTTCCAAATATTCGCATTGGTGTTAAATGCCTCTTAAATGCTGTATATATCCTTCGAGTTTGCTACTTCAATGTAAGAACAAAAGGCATATACCATGCCCTGCTTTGTCCATCCAACGATAGTGCTAAAATTAATGGGTTAATTAGCGCAATAGAATCTAGGGTGACACTACTCATTTTGACAGTCGCATTATGGGTCTTGAATTTCCTCTACAAACCCTAGATTGATCTCTACTGCAAAATATAAAGTTCTTTGGTATTGGTTAATTTTGTGACTGCTTTGTCTAAAATATTTGTTGGACTTTGCGAGCTGACACCTGCCTTACGGGCCAAGGTATTAAGGCCAACTTATGCCTCTATATGATCAGCTAAAATCTTGGCTCCCTGAAAAGGGGGACGGTTTCAGTATCAGTGTGAATAAGATAAAAATTGCTTATCATTTGTTGCTAGAATGACGGTCCAGAGCGATGGCTCACGATGGATTTGCATATGAATTGAGGAGCATTAAACAACTTTTTCTGCTTGCATTTCGATGTCAATCAACTTCACATCAATGCTGCGTTATTGAATCGCTCAAGTTAACAAGCTGCGACAGGCATAGAATAATTGTGGCGATTATTGCAAATAAAATCATGAGCAGACTGTTTTACTGCGTAATTAGCTGTAAACCACTGGTTAAACCTCATTAACCAATATTTTATTGGCATTGCTGGACTTTAACAACTCGGAAAACTTGATTGTATTGAGATATCTGAAGTCTGTCAGGTAAGCCATATTTTTGCAGCAGAAATGCTGAAGCTACCCCCCTCTTAGAGGATGTAAGTCAACATTTATGCAGCGGAAGTATATGTGATTGAATCTACTACATGAAGAAAAAGGAGTGGTTCGTACTGGCTAATAAGCCTTTCTCAACTTCTCGCCCTACATTGAAATTGGTCTCTTATAAAAATGGCGGAACCACAAAAATGTCTAGTTGACATTTAATGCACTGCTGTTATTCTAATTTCTACTCTGCAAACGCTGAAATTGATGGACTGGTTTGCCTTAGGAATATGCTTATAAGTGTAACACTATTAGAAATTAGGTGAAAATAAAAGCAAATATGATAGCCAATTTTTTTAAAAACGGCTCCGTAGGGAACGGTTTTTGTGGTTTTGTTGAAAATCTCCTTAACACTGGTGTACAATTTAATTTGTTCAAAAATATTTGAGAAGTTCATTATGATTTAGGCATTGTCTACCCTACTTAAAAACAAATAATTTGTTGATGGCTTTAGAGAGTAATTGGTTTTTTAAATGCTTGTCAACTTGCAGCTTCCTCAATTTAATCGGCAGCACTGACACAAGTCAGTACCTCTACACATATTCATTTCATATTAATCATTCTAGGGAAACCGCTCAAATCAGAAGTTTTGACTCCACAGTTTATGCGCTGGAAAGTAAAATGATGATTTGAACTTTTGTTCGGTGACGTATGTACCACACGGGAATATTTTCGATGCTTTCACTTTTCCTGCTAAACCAATTATCTTCATGGATGAGTAGACCGATGTCCAAAAAGGAAAGTGGTAATTATTGTTAATAACTTCAAATAACGTTTAACACCTTTCACCAAGCCGTAAATGTAAGCACACTGCACAAGAATATAAGCTCGGCCTTATAAAGGCATATAGCTATCTAAAACAGCAGCAAAACAATAAAAAAATTACATGATATTATCTTTCTACACGCTAACTTCGCATTCCAATTAAATGAACTCACCACCAGCCATTTGCTAGTCAAAATAATTACTGCCTATAAAAAACGTAAATATGCCTTTAGCTGCATTCAAAATAAATCAGTAAGTTTGACAGAATCAAAAGGCAATCCCGTCAGATTCCCTTGCTTTTATTACCACCCCATATTTCTTTGCCTTTTGCTTGCTAAATTATCAGTCAAAATCAAACGAAATGATTAAAATTAATGAATAAAAGTATTTTCACCCGGATAACCTTTAGGAATGTGTCCACGTTGGGTGCATTACTTTGGCCCCACCTGACACAGAACTCGAGCCAAGGTACAACAAGGAATAATTATATTCGTACATTATTTTTTTGTAATGGCAATATTGTTACAGGGATTTAGTGACCAATGACCAACAATTTGAAATCAGACTAAGTAATGAGAGCAGCTTTAATGATTTAGCTTATTTATTTATTTTCCATTTTATTATTATCTAAAAAATAAGTGATGGTATAACTTGTGTGTTTTTAGATAAGTTGTTCGTGCTAATGTGCAGAGGAATATGGTAATTAACCTAAAAAACTCTATACTAACAATATGTTTGTGTTTACGCATACATCAAGCAATATCTGTATCTCTTTTTGGGCTTCTGTAAAGTCATTTTAGCTTTTCTTGAATCTTGATGTCTAAATTCGACACCGAAAGACGTAAAACAGAGGAGGCAAAGACCCATTGATGTGTTTTGGAACGAAATCGCTTAGTGTCCACCAACCCCGTCTGCAAAGCGTTAGCTAAATTAATGAACCTGGAATCGGCAATTTCGAGTGCAGTTTATTTTTTCTTCAGGTTGCTGTTTAAGTATTTATTGCGACAGAGTTGCGTAAAAAGCAATGCTTTAAGGTTATTCTCTTGCAGTAGATAATGCTTCTTAATTCAGTTACTGTCCCAATATCTTACAACAAAAATTAGTACTTAAAAATCTTGATTTTCCAAATGGCGACAACACAAATTCTAGCACCATTGTATTTATTAAGGACGCAATCGCTCATTTTTTGCAAATTCCGATAATAAACTTCATAGTGTTAAAAGAACTTCATTTAACCCTGTTTGTATACTTGTTATAATCCATCGAAATCTAGGTGATAAAAAAGAAAATTCACCCGTTAAATATATTTCGCTCTTTTGTTGCTCATAATTCGTAGATGCATTCCATCATTTCCATTTCGAATAGCAAAATGTGCTAATTGCCAAGTGTAAAATGAAAGTTCGGCGATAAGCATATCTTCTCATGCATGGTTTCTTATTAAAACTGTTAGACGATTGTATTGTCTGTTCTATCATTTCATGTAAATTTTTGAATTATATCTTAAAATAGTCTTATTTGTTTATTGATGTTCACCATCCTATGTAAATTGTAAATTTAGAGTAAGTAAGTAATATCTAGTGCGAATAATCAAGGGTTACTTCCACAACCTTCACAAAATACTCCAGTTGCCTGAAAGACATGAAGAAATCACCTCGTTTGGTTTAAAGCAAATGTATTTGCCCCACACAAGAACGCATGAAATTTCACATACATTGTTTATCCCACGAAGATGTGATGCTCCGCTATCGTCCTGCGCAAATATCTTGCTTTCCAAAGCGTTATCAAAATGTCATCAATATGTCAAGATTGGTAACAGGTAGCATTATGAATGACACATCTACCTTTTAGCCCCAAGGGTTCTCATTTTTGGTTTCCCAACATGATCGAATTAATTACCAAAATTTACTGACAAAGTAAGCACAGGCTGATACAATACAAAGCAATAGCAAGCATCAAAACCACAAGTAAATTGGTAGTCAGTAGTAAACCTTGATGTCAGTTGAACCAATTCAGCTCACTAGTCTTAAGCTTCCTGCTGTCCCTAAGTGTGTTATCACCTTCAAGCCTGCTTGAGTTCCTCAAAAATAAAATACACAAAGCAGTTAGATTCCTGCCACACTATTTAAATGACAGATCTTTACTCCTAAGATCCCAAACCGTGCAACCGAAACACTCACTACAACCAGTTGTAGCAATTCGGAAGCACTGTGCAACTCATCTATGGTTTTAAATGGATGTAAAATCGCCGCCTACCATTTTCTATCTTGATTTTAATTATTGTGGTAATTAAAACACAAGTTCCACTAAATTTGGAGTCCAACATTTCACGTTTGTTACCAAGAAAGCAGTTTTGTTCAAATTGCAAGATGGATTTGATTAAGTAAAGAAAGATAAGCACTATTTGGATAGGCTTGCTTTTCTACAGGGAGGACTTTTTGAGAATCCTTAAAATTTGCACCTCGAACTTCATCATAGAAGTAATCATTTGAAATTTGCCGTCCATGCAATAAGATCGGCCAAGTATTCTGCACTTCTCTAACATAATTCATAGTAAGCGACAGTCCCATTAATCGCGTTTTGTGCTTTTGTCTATGTAAAATAAAATTAGATAAGTCGTCTAATTTTATGAAAGTGCTCTTTTAAATGATATTTATTCCCAGACCTCAAATTAATAAAGTATAGGATATAGAAGCCCGGATTTTTGCAAAACAGCATTTAGTCTATCCTAATTATGACAACAAGGTCTGCAAAGCAAATAACCCGAAGTATTATACTTAGAGCATTTAGACGTAAGTGGTAAGACGTGGGTGATCCACTTTGTGATCATGGATTTCAATGCTGCACTGATAAATGCTAAGCTGTTCCCATGTTGATTCCATGGCAGAAGTCTAAGACTTTTATTTACATTAACTAGATACGAATTACAATGCAGCATTAAAACCATACCGCTGCGCAATCTTAGAACACTCAAGGGACAACCCAGTTAGAACCGGAGTTAGGGTTCCATTAATTTTAGAGGTTAAAGTACAACATTATGGGTACTGTCCCAGCCTCATTATTATTAACGATTGACGTTATCTAGCTCGAATACTTTCATTCGTGATATTTCGCCCCACATGTGTATGGATAGGCTTGTGGTCATAATATTTTATTTATACTCCAACCGTTCGATTATTTAAATACGTATTTTGATGCACTGAGAAGAAATTGACATAGGTCGGGCAAGATTGCCTATTCCGTCAGTATTTTACTTCAGATTATTACGGGAAAACTAATAAATATATATATGAAGCGAAATCCTCCACTTTCAAAAATTCGTAGATCCGTTATAATGATACTGCTGCGGCGACAAAAAAGGTTACCGATTTCATTGCTAACTTTGTAGTGGATATGAATTTTAGTAAGGTTGACTTAACTAACTCACCTGTAAATTAAACCAAAGGATGACATTTGTGTTTTGTATTAATGACGCCTGAAACAATATTCAACGTATTTTTCTAGCCTAGCTGCCGGTCAGAATCAAAACACCACCAATGCAAAGTAGGTAATAGGATATCGGTTAAGTTACTTTGATAGTACTAACGTGATTTACAAGGGATTTGGTCGAAAAGTGTAAGTTAAAGGCTTATGTGGAAACCTAAGATAATAGAAGTGATGAAGTGTTTTCGGATGCTATAGAGTTTAAATTATTAAACTTTTGAGAAAAGTTCACAGCACAATTGCTCAATAAATCGGCCAAAGTAAGAGCCAAAATTAGATGTTTGCTCATCAAAGTAATTTCGGATTAATTTAGTGTACAATCGAAAACTAGAACTGGAAATGCATTAAACATGGGGACAGCACTCATTTCCATTTGAAGGTAATTCTAACTACAAAATGATTTACGGAATCTTAAATGTGCGGATGTGCGCTGCCTTAATTAGAGTCCTCCGTTGGAAAATCAGAATGTGAAATGGAAACATTTGACAAGGACCACGTGAATGCTTGAAGTGAAATAGAAACTTGTTCATTATCTACACGATTGTAATCTGCAAAAAAACTGGAACCAAAATTTACTCATCGATCGTTAGTGTCGTTGTTGTTTATATCACGATCTGATTGTCTGCCCGGCTGAGTGAATTCGAGC